CGGCCGCGCCGCCCCCCCCCCCCCCCCCCCCCCCCCCCCCCCCCCCCCCCCCCCCCCCCCCCCCCCCCAACAGGGCAACAGGGCAACAGGGCAATTAGAATACAAGGTGCTGATAGGTCTTACAACGGTTGGACAAGGTTCGACAGGGGGTTGATAGGGTTGACAGGGTTGCCCGCTGTGGGTAACGTGGGGTTGAAAGAGGGACGTTAATCGATTGGATAAAAACCAATGCGGTGAGTTTATCTCCCTGTTTCCCCGGCACCGCGGGCTGCTGCGGGCCACTGCAGGCACGCGCGCAAACGCTGGGCTGAGATTCCTCGTTACGTCGTTACGTCGTCACGCTATTACGCCCTTACGTAGCTGCGTAAGCCACGCGGTCCACGTAATAAGTTATAAAAGTCGCGCTGTAAGATACACGCGCCGCGTTAAATCCTCACTTTCGCACTCTGACACTACAGTTATAATAGGACAAGACTCGAACACCTAAACTACACTATCGCCTCAAATAAGACCAACGAGGCAAAAACAGTTTGATATTAATGAAGCATATTTGTTGATTGTTATGCTCATTACGAAATTAATAAACAGCAGCTCGGCGCTTTGAGAAGTAGGTCTTATTCATTGCTAAAGCCACTCCTAAATCCCGAGGTAGATTGCCGTCTTTGACCGACTATTACACACCGCGCTCATTTCTCTACTCTACTTACTTTTACCAAGTAGTGCTTATACTGTTGTCGGGTGACATAGACGCTATATTGTTTCGCGTAAACATAAGTACTTAGGCAGGTATTGAAACAGATAGAGGCGATCTTCCAGACAACATCCGATCATTCCTATTCACTTGGCTCCTGGTTCCGATAACTCGGGTCACCACCAGCCCCGCATTCAGCTATGATCCATAGGGTTCGGGCTCGGGTTCGGGGACTTGGCAGAACCCCTGAATCAGGGGTCAGCCGGTAGGAGGAGCCTTTTAGTAAAAGACACGTCGTTTTCTCTTTCCTCCTAGAATAATAACTGTCCCCAACATCAACTTCTCACAGAGTAAGTCTTAGCAAGACACAACCAAACTACTTGACCAATCAATTCTGGTGAATTATGTAAGTTAATATATGCTAGCAGAGTAACCGCTAGATACCAGGTCTATATAAGGAATAAGGACGCTATGCCTTTTCCCTAGTTTTAGGAGGGCATATGTTAATAGGCACCATTATACCACTACACTATGTACTAGTTAGACCCCTATCTCTTACCCCATGGTACACAATACCCTAACAATTCTTGCGGCGTCGGACTAGCAGCATATTAGATATATTTTGCTAAAATTATAGAAGCTATATCCTCACCCCTGTGTAAAGGAGAAAGAATAATAAGGCTTTATGAAATTGATTTTTTTTTATCTATGATGGTTACCTCTGCTTGTGTTATAAACCTCGAAAACGACGTTATATTAATATCAGCTCCTTATACCGAGATCCCTCATGAGATATTAAAGTTCCTAACAGTAATCATAAAAGAGATACTATCTTGGAGGAGTTTTATTATTATAAATACATACAAACCGCGTTAATACGAGTTTTCAATATTTTATATTAATTCATATCTCAAGTTTCAGCTTAGGTATTACTCGGCCCGATCATTTAGCATAACAAAAGGTACTTGGCATATGAAAAATGCCTACGACTATATCGGCCTATGCCATAATGGGATGAAAACGATTGCGGAAATGTGCTCATTGTTCTGTTAAATAATACCAGTCTTTGTTTTAATGAGGGAGATAGCTTAGTAGGATAGTAGCTTTGAAGGGGCCACAGGTATTCATAGTCAAATAGAGAATGCCCAAGAGAATACCCAGTTCCTTGCTTACCACATATCGATGTAAACCTACACAGCATTATAGTAACTACAAGACGACACGTTGTTATAAATATTAGTCGCCATGTTTAATCTATCTATATTTGATCAACGGCGGCGTAGACATCGTTCTTCCCAAAATCCAAGTCGCCATTCATCTAGGAATTCGTCTGAGTTTTCACCCCGACAGAATGTGGCCAGACAGTCCTCGAGTGAATATGAAACTGCACGATCAGGACGATCATCAACGCAATATGGTTCTGCACGACAACAATCAACACAATACGATACCGGAAGATCAAGGCAGCAGTCAACAGAATATGGTTCTGCACGGCAACAGTCAACACAATACGGTACCGCAGAATCTAGACAGCAATCAACACAATATGGCTCTGCACGATCAGGGCAACAGTCAACAGCTCGTCCCTCTTTGTCAACGCGAAACCCGGCTACCCCTTCGCCGGCTCGACCGCATCCACTTGGGTTGAGGGAAAGTCCGCTTACATCTTCTTATCAACCTTCGTCTTCAATATATCCACGTTCAACTACGTATAGCCCTGATCCCTCGTCATCGCGATATTATCCGCCTTCAGCGATGCGATATCCGGCGGAATCTTCACGTGGTACCAGGCGCTCATCTTCGCGTGATCGTGGACCTTCACGCGGTGAACCTTCACGCGGTGAACCTTCACGTGGTGAACCTTCTTCGCGTGGTGGATCTTCATTGTATGATCCCCCGCCTACTTACAGAACCCTGCCTTCGGGAGGTGGTCTTCCGCCTTCGCCTCCACCTCCATCTCCACCTCCGCCTCCATCTTCATCTTCATCTCCATCTCCATCTCCATCTCCATCTCCGCCTCCATCTCCACCACCTCCAGATGGGCCACAATCCGATTCTTCGGATTCTGATGAATCTGAAGACGAACCTGCACCTCCATATAGAAGTCCACCTATGCAAGCGCCTAGACCCCCGACGGCCTTCAACATTCTGGAAAGAGCAGGAGCTGAAGCTCGCGAAACCCTTCGACGAATGTCAAGAACCGAGGCCCGCAACATTCGAAGCTTCTTCCAGACAGACGAAAGGAACTTTCATTATCTAGATATAGTCGGCCATGGTGCGAATAGCGTTGCGGTCAGGGTCAAATTGAGGAGCCGTTGGTATAGCAGTCACCATTCAGAGATATTTGTTGTCAAACGTGCGATTGTAGCGGGAGTCCAAAGGAAATTAAGGAACGAAAACCGTATATTAAGAGTAAGTATCCCGAAAACCTCAAGAGGCTATGGGATTTTCAAAATGTCATACGACTATGCCTGTTATAATTGCAATCAGACCTAACTTACTCTTTCAAAGATGCTGCGCGGAGCTAAACACATTATCCAACTATATCGAACTTTCAGTAGTATACGCAACCCTATAGATAGGGCGCGAGGTCGAACAGTGATGATGGAATGGGCTCCTAATGGAACTTTGGGAAATTTCATCAGGAGACTAGCGCGAAGTCGTGACCATCAATCCAATCGAATGCTCCATATGTTATTTATGTGTTGTAAGTACTACGAGGGAGATCAACATTAACACTTAATTATCGTCAAGGCTAACATTTTGGCCCCTACTTAGTGGTTCGCATGTGTATAGCCATGGCGTACCCACCAAGACAGGGAAGACGTGCAAGGCCCAGAAGGGAGGCATTCCCCGGTTCAAGAGCTGCACAGGAGCGGAAGACTCAACTTATCCACTACGATATGCATACGAATAATAGTGAGTTCCCTGCTATCTAAGTTAGGCGTGGCCGTATGGATGTTGCTGGAGTGCTAAGAGTCGTTTGCTGACGTATCTGTTTCGAAATCTAGTACTGTTTGGAGATGTTGAACGCCCCGGTGACAACGATCATTACGTGCTTCCCCCGTTGAAACTTATAGATTTCGAAGACGCCGAGGTTCTTTCTGGCCAACACAGGTAAGACTATCCCCCCGATAGTTACTAGCAGAAGTACAGTAGCATTGACATTGTCTGTGAAGACATAACCAAGCAGTCCAGTCAAATATATTAAGCATCGGAATGGTACGTGGCCGTTTCTATTGTATACAATCCTGGTTAACTTATTAACATACGTGCCTACGTTTGAATAGATAATGAGATGCATAATTACGGGCAGTACAAACATGAACGCGCATGCTGTCCCTGTGCGGACTAATGTTAGTGGGCTGGATGTGACCATCACATCATTTGCCAACTTTCCTTCCAACCTTTACCCAGATATTGACGACGCTCTTAAAAGCCTTGTCGTTCAATGCTGTGCTGTTAATCCGCAGGAGAGGCCTAGCCTTGAACATTTGTACGAGAGAGCCCATAGCCACCTCCACAACAGGCAATACGATTTCTATCGGGATACTCCGAGCGCACCATACGAAAGAACGCCGTGGATAAGAAGATTAGTCCAAGAGTATATCCTTGACGCTGACAATTGAATAAAGTGGATAGAGTAGAACCCATAACCTAAGCTCTAGGGAGAGAGTATTTATCTCAATACGGAGGCTAAAATGTCATACGACAACGGAATGAACAAGGATTGAAATAAAATAGGCTTTGGCAAGCACATATAGGAAGTCTAATAAATATAGATAATGTCACTAAATGTACCTATGGAGGAGTATACAGATAGAAACTAGTAAATCCGTTGCTGATTTTAGGAATATATATTATCTAATTCTTTTCCAGCATATGTGCAAAAGGCATCTCAACCAACAACATAACGTCCGTAAAAGTCGAAGTAGCCTCAAAGTAACGCGTTTCGAAGTAAATAAAACCAACATACATACTACGGTAGCAGTGTCAACCCAGTTCTTTTAGTCTCACCACGTAAACTACCTTACACCCAAAAATAAGCTCTTAGATATCTAATACATAGATATACTATTGCAACTTACTAAAATAGCAATTAGGGACCTGCATAAGATCGGTACTTACCTAAAACATGAAGACCCATCAGAAGATTCAAGCGACAAGACACCTTCTCATTTTTGCGAAGATCCCAAATCTTTGAGGTAATAGGCTTTAAAATTCAAACACAACTCTCCGTGGGACGTAGTGAATTAGTTATTACGATAGATTCCGTAGTTTAGCATTGCAAAGAGTCCCAATAGCTATAATGTAGTCTCTCCCTCGATGAAATATTATATAGGTAACCTTAGCAAGGAAACCCCTAGAAAGCCAACTTTTCGAAATTGTTGATATTGCCAAGTCCTAACTTAGACTTTGTATTGGCCGGCTATGATGTGACTACCTGAGCAATATACGTATAGCTTTATATAGATCGGCTATTCAAACTTACTAGTTTAGGTACCTAATGTTTAGTTAAAGATTTTGATTTCATCCTTTCATTGAGGAAGGGCTAGCTTCCACTTTGTGCACGAGGGCGTTTACTATTCTATAACTAGGCCGCTTCCAGAGAGGGCTTTTTGTCTTGGGAACTTAAATTATGGAGCGCTTTTGAGTCTGCACACATGATATACGATAACGAATAGCTAACCACGATGAAAACGAAGCTAGCCCTGGTGTTGACTGTACGAGAGCTAGATTTCGACTTCAATTGGGAGGGGTGGCACAAGTAGCAGTTTGCTTTATTCCCATCTCTATTTCTGATCTTCAAGCTGGCATCCGTTTCTAGGAACTATGTGCAATGAGCATATCTACTGCGTTGTAGATAATATTACCTGGCTATGTATGACATACATTGCACGTCAAGGATTGCTCAGCTAGTCGCGTCAGATTAGGATCAACGTAATTCAAGAGAGGCTACGTAGGCTAAGTAGTTGTTTTAGGGAGACTAGCTATTATGGCCAATTATTGTATTTATAGCGAACCTATCTTCGTCCAGCTACACGGCATTGGGATTCGGGCATGTCGATGTGAATCAATTGAGTGTGAAATTGGCCTCCGTCTCCTGAACGTTATTTATGAACGCAACGTGCCATCTGTCAGAATTTCACTAATGGTATGGATAATTGTATTGTAAATGGGAGGCGAGTGCATTGCATACAATGCGTAAAGCCCCTAGGAGATGTGCAGGCCATGTTGAGCGGGTAAGAATATCAATTCGCGTACCTAGTGTTTACTTAAAGGAGACCCACGCAAGCCCTTACCAACTTCTGTATCAAGCTAAGACTACCTGACTGAGAGCTAACAGCGTGTTTCCTGCCTATAGCTTACGCCAAAGCAAATGAGGTAGAGCCCAGCTGGGTCTGATAATCGGATCTAATGTTTAACTTAGACATTGACCCACGAGGTTATTTTAGCTTGCTACAGTATGAAAGAATAAAAGAATGAAAGACAAGTTAAAAGCTTAATAACAGAATGTTGGCTAATATGAAAAGATAATGCTTGTTAGCCTAGGTTTTAATTGAGTACTAACCTAACGCGTCCATGTCTATACCTAATTGGTATATGTATAGGTATCAACATCTATGCGTTGCAACTGTACGTTTAAAAAAAAACAAAAAAAACAAAACCCTTCCCTGGTAAAAGATGTAAAGACTCCCGGTCTTCATGGTAATATCATGCCACGGCAGGTAACGAGAGCCTCATTTATACTTACCTACCTAGGTACCTAACCAACCACATCATGTCAACGACACCGAGAACTATTACCGGAATCGCGCGAGCGGCGGAATTTTTTAAAATTTGGCCCACGCAACCCACTCACCCGTGGTAGCGTTACAGCAGCTCGTGCTTAAAGTCCCATTCGTCAATTGATGGGGAAGGAGGAAGAAAAAAAAATATTTCAGTGGAGCTATAGTTTTCGATGCGCCACTGATAGGGCAAATTCTTCTTCGAGCCGAGTTTCCAAGTCTACGTTGCACTGGTCGCGACGAATGGACCCGACTGGATCATGAGACATTTTCGGCATTGCCGTGGTATTTCAAGTAGGTAGGTAGTCTATGTAGGTTACCTACCTAGGTATGTAGTTTATGTAAACTGTACCAATTATTCAACTCGAAACCTTTTTCTAGAAGGCCATGTCTCTTTTAATAAAGTCGACGTTAACCGTCCCAAAAGGCTTATTTATATGAATTCACCCAACCCCGGATACACACCACCACGTTCCCCTTTTACTTCCCATTCTCTCTAAGTAACTAATTCCATAACACGATCCTTCTAGTGTCTCCTCCGTCACGCTCGTGCGCCTCTGTTGTCGAGCCGATCTAGCTGTCGAGATGGACTTAGCCATCAGCGAGGGAGAAAAGAGCCCGAAGGAGAGTTCTCTGACGAGCAATGGTGGTCAGAAGGATGTTGAGTCTGGTGACGATCAGTTACACCGGGGCCTTCGCAGCTACCATCTCCAGTTCATCGCCATCGGAGGAACCGTCGGGACTGGCCTGTTCTTAGGGAGCGGCAAGGCGTTGGCGACGGCCGGGCCTGTTGGCTGTCTCATCGCCTTCCTCTTCGTCGGCTCAATCGTCTTCTCCGTCATGACGAGTCTGGGTGAAATGGCTTCGTTTATTCCGGTTGCTGGAAGTTTTACCGTGTACGCTTCTCGATTCGTCGACCGCTCTCTTGGTTTCGCGATGGGCTGGATTTATTGGTTCAGCTGGTCCGTAACGTTCGCCCTCGAACTCGTAGCAGCCGGCGTTATTATCCAGTATTGGGACTCGAAGCTTAGCATCGGAATCTTCATCGCTATTTTTTGGGCCATCTTCACGGGCGCCAACTTCTTGCCAATCCGTTATTTTGGAGCCTTCGAGATGTGGTTCTCTAGCATCAAAGTCATCACCATCGTCGGTTTCGTCATATTCGCCATCTGTATCGACGCGGGTGCGGGGAAGAATGGATATCTCGGGTTCGACGCCTGGGTACACCCTGGCCCTTTCGCCGAGTATATTTTTACTGGAAACACCGGGAAGTTTGTTGGATTCTGGTCGGTACTCGTTACCGCCGGATTCAGCTACCAGGGGGCAGAGCTTGTCGGTATCGGCGCGAGAGAGACTCACGACCCAGCAAAGAACGTCCCAAAGGCTATCCGGTGGACATTCTGGGGAATTCTATCTCTTTTCGTTTCAACCATCTTCTTTATCGGCTTACTCGTGCCTTATGATACGGAAGCTCTTCTAATCGGCACTACGGATGCCTCAGCGTCGCCACTCGTTATCGCAGCCAACCTCGCTGGAGTTTCCGTTCTTCCCCACATCATCAACGCCGTCCTACTAACCGCCGTACTCTCTGCCGCAAATTCAAACGTCTACTCTGGGAGTCGTATTTTGGTCGGCCTAGCCTCAGAGCATAACGCCCCTGCATTCTTGTCCCGTACAAACCAGCATGGAACTCCCTATTTTGCGGTCGGTATCACTTCGGCAGTGGGGCTTCTCGCCTTTATGAATCTATCAGCGAACGGTGGCGACGTCTTCGATTGGCTGTTAAATATCACTTCCATAGCTGGCTTCATCACCTGGTCTTGTATCAGCGTCTGCCACTTACGATTCATGAAAGCCTTAAAGGCTAAGGGAATGTCCAGAAAAGATCTCCCATACGCGGCGCCGTTCCAACCATACTTAACTTGGTTTGGTCTCTTCTTCTGCGTGTTGATTCTCTTGACCAACGGATTTACTGTTTTCATCGAGTGGAAAACCAGCGAATTCTTCGCCGCATATATTAGCCTTATATTGTTTGTTGTGCTATTTGTAGGGCACAAACTCATATGCTTGACAAAGCCCGTCAAGCTAGCCGATGTGGACCTTGACCGTGACAGAGTCCAGCAATAATCTCTATTGCATGTGTAAATAGTTTATAGTAATAATGCTCGTTTATGATACCCTTAATATTAAATATAAGAGTATATCTTAGTTCTGTTAAACAAATAGATAACCCCTTTATATCCACATTTCTGTGAATCTAGGTAGTTACTAAGGAGTCGACTATAGCAGATTATTTCGAACAATCACCAAGTACATCATAAGCTGTTTCGTAACTGTCGTTGTAATATGTAATATGCTATTTTGTATAGTCATTGATTAGACGGCGCCTTCTTCACAGTCAGCTGTAGCATGTCGTTTTCTAAATTGTCGACCATGAGATGTACACCTGTATAGACACCGGCCATGGCATATGCCTGCCTTGTTACTCACGTCCAACTTAACCCACGTAAATACTACGAATTTAGTACCTACGTAACTTCCTAAGGAGCCCTTTTGACTGTATTTAGCATTGACCACAATGTGTCATTCAACTATCTAAGGTGCGTGCAGGTGGCTACCACAGCAACAGTTCTTTTCCTACCACCAGATGTTCCCTCCTTAGATATCAACTATTGAATGTTCTATTTAATTCTTAAACAATTCCAACGTTTACCACTCCAATATTTCTTCACCTAAAATCTTAAGAAATAATAACAGGGTTTTAATCACTGAGATCACGTTTCTCAACACCAACCACCACCATACCAATCGATTTTTTCTCCCCCCCCCCCCCAAGACAAGCTAAATCAGCCTGTTCGTTAAGCGGCCCCCCAAAAATTGGACCAGCTAAGCTTCGTAGCAAGTCTTCAAAGGTTGGTTAGCATTTGATTAAAACTCCTCCCTACCTCTACATCTTCCTCCATTTTTATCTCTTCTACACCTTCTACCTCTGCTGCATGTTCTCTACAATATATACGCGTTGAAGAGTTTTGCCTACTTCTCATTTTTGTGTTGACCGCCCCCCCCCCCTCTCAGCATGCATGGTCCTATAGCACCTCATAATTGCGCTTCTTTAGTACCCTTTAAGTTATCATGATCTAATCCGATTACCATATAGCTACCTAGGTACTCTGCATAGAAGTTTTGACGGCACATCCTTACTTCTATCATGTCTGCAAACGCCGAAACATTAGCTATGGCCGTCGCCAAAATTGATTTAAGCACAGCCGACATTGTAATCTGGGGTCTTGTCTATAATGATGGTCACAAAGGACTCATGGAGGAGAAGACTCCGGATCTACAGCCTGGAGAAGTATTGAGCGGGGCTATCTTAGTCCCTCCAGGCAAGAAACTCGTCGCATATGAGCTCGCAGATGGTATAAGAAGATCGATGCAAACCCCCTTGACCAGATCTTTCCGCCTCGTCTATGGAACAATCCAACCCCAAACCACCCAGCCCGGAACCCCATTACCACTACCAGTTACTCGAATGAACCTCGATAACTCCATCTATTGGACAAAGGTACCCGTTGGTGGTCAGTCATATCCCGAGGTTGACGAGCGAGACGGGGTCCAAGAACACGAGATGGGCCCGGCCAAAGGAAGCCCTACTACGTGTTGCAATGTTGAGAAGGATATTTTCATCATTGATCGCTCCGCACTTTCATGCATCGAGCGCTCTGAAGGCACTACTGGCACTCAGGAGGCTCGCCAGCGCATCGAAGCCTGGCTGCTTCGGCCACGGAATGTTGCATTCAACTTAAACGACCCAGGTAGTCATCTGGTCTATCTGGATCTTCTAGAGAGAGCATCGAAGTCTACAGATGATGAGATCAAGAGCCTTCTTAATGTTAAGAGAACAGTCACGTTCTTCTCCGGTCCGGAAAAGTGTAATCACGACGAGTGCAACAACTGGCGCGATGAGCAGGCTAAGAGGATTCGATTTACTCACCCAAAGAAGATTCTGAAGCACCCCTGGTGGTCTTTCGCGGACTTTTGCCCTCTCCGGACTTCGGTCTCGTTCAAGGCCTCGCAGCACGCCAAGGACATTATCTTGACTCACGGCATCAGTGATGAGGACGCAAAACGCGGCCGCGCCTTCTGTCATGCAATGATTAACCACTCCCCCTTTGCGAATGGATACGTGGTTCTCCGTCACTTCAAGAAATTCCCGCTCTTAGTTCACGCCAGCGGTCAATGCCTGACTCCTAATGACACCGGGAGGGACCAGCTAGATCTGATTATGAATCAGGTTGAGAATGGTAGCGCGTGTTATGGCTGTGCCGAACAGCGCGATCCGTTGAAGATCTTCGACAACCATGGTATCCCCAAAGATCAAGCCACGGGGTTAATCTATCTTCACTACGAGGGAGGCGTGGAGGTTACTGAAGAGAAGGAACATGAGGACCTTATTAAGGAGACGTGTGCCGGACTTGAGGACGATAGTGAAGATGACGACAACATCTCCATGCAGTCGCAGAGTGATTTGGACTTAGGGAGCGAGACTGAGGAACAGGTTACGTTCTACTTTGCATGATTCCATTGTACACTTTTCGTTCGTTTCCTTTCTTTTCTATCGCAGCATCTCGCAAGTCACATCATAGGAGATGATCTACCCGGGTGACGGAAGATACTAGTCTATTGATGCTATAGAGACGATAGCAGTTCATTACAGATACTCCTTGAGACTCGAGCAGGTTCAGAACCAAGTATTCTCTCTGGTCCACGGAGCCAGGAGACAGAGCATTAGATGAGAGACACGTAGCTAGGTAGTCAATTATGAGTTTTTCCTTATGATATTTTTCCATACCCATAATTAAGTGTTTAATGAAGGTCGCACGCGGACCATCCTTAAATGTTCATTGGCTGGAGTGCCGGCTTTGATACGGAGGTCACTGTTGATATGCCGGCCGGCCATCGGCCCCACTCGGCCCGTTAGCCAATGTCTACCTTTGGAGATGCTCTTGCCCTGGGCCTCAAAAGCTCATTCGGGAAGATGTCTCAAAACCAAACACGTAGGACTACCAAATTATTAATGACCCATACTACATACAACAACCATTTACTAGGGTTAGGAAACATGTAGAGATGAGTCTTGCCATATCTTGGGGGATCAATTTGTATTATTTTCTTGTTACAGGACAAGGGCAAAGCTATGTAGTAACCATTACGAGAACGCAAGCTAATTCGTCCTTAAAAGTAGCACGCATCACAAGTATTAATAGCGAAGTCAACAAACGCGCGGAAAAGAATTCGTTTCTGCTAGGAGCTAGCTCTAGAGAAATGGGCAACGGGAGTCCCGACCGTCGCAATCGTGGCAAGTGAATCTATGACGCATCTCCTGAGCCAATAATATCAATGCAAGTGTGTATTCCACAACCACTCATCATGGGCTGTGTTCCTTTCCCGTGTCATAATCTACTACGAGTCCTCAATAAACTCGATCATGACTGTGCCCTGTTTCAAACCAGCCTCCTCGATAGTTTTTCCCAACTCCCCGGTGAGATCTCTACCTGCCGGCATTGCTTTGAGCTCGAATTGGATATTCTCCTTGCCCTCGAGAGGCTCGGCCTTCAGCCACTCGTAGATACGGCGGACGGGGTCCGTGATGGAGAATCTTCGAATAATGCGACCGCCGGCATGGCGAAATTGTATTCTGGTTGTAGTTGACGGATTATTCTCCGGTTCCACGTGAGGATTGGTTGATGATATTTGGGTAAATGCCGATTCTGATGCATTAGAGGGTTGATTAGACTCATCAACCTCCTTACCCTTGCCTTTTCCAATATCTGGGTTTGACTTAGTAAGGGCGTCAGGATCCTGAACGCTAGGTCCCGATGATCCTCCATCTTCGTCAAGACTGTTTTGTAAAGCCATTCTAAGCATCTCCTCTTCCGACATTCGGCTAATATCGACGGGCTTCGTCTTCGGTTTTGACTTAACCACGGGATTCTTGCTGTTTGCCGCTAAGCTGTATCGGTCGAGAAACTCGACGAGGTCTGAATGAAATTCCGTCATGGAGGGAAATGATTCTCCTGACCAAACTTTGACCTGCTCTCCGGTACGGGGGTCGATAATAGAAACATGCGGGTAGTTGTTTTCGTCCTCATGAGCTTGATTGTTGAAGTAGAATGTGGTGTATGATTGGGCTACTGGGTCATCTAAAGTGTATTGTAAGAAGATAAAATGCTCACGAATCAAAGACACAATGTCTTCGTTCTTCCAGTGATCTCTGTTAAGAACCTGGCATCGAAAATCATCCATCTTCTGAAGATTAACAAGTATCCACTTCTTCTCTTCTTTCCCGAGGTCTCTTGCGGCATCTAATGGTAGGCGGGTAATCAAGCCTGTCGGGGGTGCGAATAGATCTCTTAATCTTCGCGATGTATTACTGGAAGTAGGTGGCGCGTTTCGTGGCCGAACGCCGTCTTCCCGGTCGAACCAGTCAACCGAGGATTGACTGAAGGGGTTGGCACTAGTACCTATGAAGAGAGTTAGGAAACCCAGCGGAAGGAGACACGTAATTCCAAAAAGAATATAGAAGGCTCACCTTGTACTCTCCGTCGGCGTAGCTGCTCCATAACGGCGGCTTCTCGGTCGTCGTCCAAACCCCAAGAGGGATCGGGTGCTGCGAGAGTCTCGGTCGTTTGGGCTATCGGGGCTCTTACTCCATCCAGTGCTCCATGATTTTCTGAGTACATTTCCTCCTGTAGCCGTCTCGCCATCTCGGCGTCTTCTTCCTCTTGCGCGCTTCTTATTAGTGCCGTGACATCATCCGCATCATCAGGTACATCAAAGTCATTATTTGCCATATGTACGTCGTCATCGTCGTCGGAATCTATGTGGATTACCCCGCGGGCGTCCTCGCGCCCGGTAAAAGTTTGGCTTCGGCTTGCAGACGACGATGTAGGTTGTCTTGCTGGGGTAGAAGTTGAAGCGGCAGGCTGGTTGAAGCTGGCTTGCAACTCGGGGTTTTCGTAGAAGAGCTGGATAGCTTGCATAGGATCGCCGCCTGAGATTTCAAGATAGCCGCGGGCTACATAATCGGCTGAGATGCCAGTTATGGCCATGAACTGAACCACATCCTCATCCATCTTCTTAAACCTGTAGTTATAGCTACCTGGGTAGGTATAGATAATAGTGAACGTGTTGGATATTATCTTAGGCGCGAGGCTAGCACTCGACGGGTTTTGGCGGGTCTGGATCGTATCGTCGAGGAACTTCTAAGATGAAGTGTACCTAGGTGGTTTGGTTAAGTTAGGTAGCAGGCGGTCGGCACTCGTAGGCACTCGTAGGCACTCGTAGCTAAAGATCAATAAAAGTTAACGACGGCTCTAGGTTCACAATGGACCAGTTAGGCTTTAAATACTCTGATGGGATTTTTCCTGCAACAATAACATGAACAACCCACATTATTCGAGAAGAGTATGAGTGAGCGATAATCACCAAGGCAGACGAAAATAAAATGAAGTTGTTTGCATGACAATGATGCCGTAGCAGATGACTGTGCTGTAGTAGTAATGGACTAGGTTAATGGACTAATGGTTTAAAGGCGGCTATTGTGACGCAACAACTATCTTGTGGGGTCGACCACCGATAGGAAGTAGATAAGGCAGATAGAGAAGATAACTTACATAAAATAGCGGGGCCGCAGTTGTTCTTTCCCGACCTTTCTCCGCTTAATGCTGGCCTAGGTACCCCCTTCCCCGCCGGGTACTTAAGTATTTAGGTAATAGCTGCTTCCTGGCGTACCTAGCACTCAAAAAGGGGATCCGAAATCCTTAGGTACATAGGTACCTAGGTACGTATTACTTTTTAATAGAAATAAGAGGTATACCGACTTTGATATTTGAACAATTCATCTTATTTTCTCTTCCAGTGCTATTGAGCAAAGAAAGGCTACTCACTAGGTTAAAGTGTCTGTATTGATATTTGTCACATAATCAGTCTACTTCTTAAGAATATATTCAACGAAAAAGTCTATTAGATAAGTTCATTGCTTGCCAGGGCTACATTTTCCACTCCAGCTCCCTATATGGCAATTCTCTTAACCTAAACAGCAAGCTGTTGAGCAACTTGCTCTAGTAGCTTCTGTACATCTATAGACCTTTCTGCTTCTATCATAGCTCTCAACTTCTGTTCAATTTCATCAAGTAAAGGCCCCTGTTCGCTAAATGTGCCAAAAATGCCTTTCTTTAACGCTATCACGAAAGCCCCGAGCGCTTTTGCCCGGCTTGAGCGTTGGTTTTCAAGGATGACATCGCTTTCATCCGCCACCAGCAGCCTAAGCCATCGAGTAGCCGCCGTACTCCCTGAAGAGTCCAGAGAACCCTTAAACATCGCGGCCTGGTTCAAGACATCAGCGGCACTGGTGAACCACGTATCCCTAGCCAACGAAATTGCTTCTCTTGCTCCCTCTATAGTAGCTACTATAGTATCAAGCACGGCAAGCGGGGCCTCTCGCATTCGTTTGCGATTATATGCTGTTAGGGTAGCCTTGAGTGCGGCATCGGTTGTCTTTTGTTCCAACTCCGTAATCTTATGAACTTCCTTGGCTTTCAAGTAATCTGATACAATAGCGACCACTTCTGCATACATGTCTAAATCCTCCCGGGCACTAGCAAACTCCGCGAGCGCTTGGAAGGCATGAGGGCGATATGAATCATTATTTCGTTTTGCTTCACGGATAGCTATCTTCTTCAATTGTGCTGCGAGAGCTGAATCCGTGTCCCAAAGCTTTCTGCCGTGAAGTACAAAGAGAGGATATGCAGTCACAACCTTCTCTTTGCCCGTAAACGTCTTAAGCGACAGGGCCTTTTCTAGCGGGGGCCATATTTTCTGTAGATCTGCGTCGGCGAACTGTCCATTTTTCCCAACGGCACTGCCGAGTGCGGTAATCATAGACGCTACAGCTATGGCGGCGCCATGTTGAAGAGCCCACTTTGATGTATCGAGACCGTTCAGCGCGAACTGTGTAATTTCGTCCACGAAACGTTTTACACTATGGCTCCCACCCGCATGTTGGCTCCAAACAGCTTCGAATTCTTCGGATACGTAATCATCTGTGTCATGTTTTGCTAGGTAGGAAAATGGTAAGAGACGAGCCTCAAGGTCAGTAAACGCATCAGGGGAGACCTTCGCTACAGCTAGAACCACATCGGCAACTTTCTGCCGCCGAGTATCGTCCTCGGCTCCAAAGTACAAGTCTACGAGTCGCGATGTGAATCGATCTCGAGTCTCTGGGTTTGCCGATCTTAGCAGATATGCAGAACTTCTAGCATAGGCTTTGTTCACTTCGTGGTTCCGGTCTAGGATCTGTGTCTCCATTGTCTTTAGAAATTGCGCATTGTATGGGGGTAACAGAATGCTGTGTCGAAGTGCCAAGGTACTGAGAAGTTCAGCACAACCAATCTTGGTCTGCATTCCAATAGCTGACTTAATAGTTGATACTAGCAGTGGGGCTAATTCTTTCATGACATCCTCGTCGGCAAATCGCAGACAGTCAACGATGCATTCAAACATAGGCGACCGAGTAGCAAAGGTGCCTCGTAGCTTGTCCAAATTTTCGCGATCCTCCTCACTGAATCTTTGGTACGCAAAATTGACTTCGTCTGGCTCTACGGTGCTCAACAAGCCTAGGAAATGCGTGATAATGGGTGGGATAAATGGTTTTAGTGTATCGCCTCCGTTTTTGACGACATCAAGGACCGTTTTAATACAGAAATACTTGATTTCCTTAACGGAA